TGTTACATACATGTAGGCTCCTTGTTTAACCTGATCAGACTAGTTAAATTACTTGGGAATTTGACTCTAAAAGCAATAATAGCTTTGAGCAAAACTTTATTTTTACAAGCAGGCAGTCGTGAGTTCAATCCCTGGTACCGATAAAAAGGAAAAAGACAAAAAACAAAACAAAACAAAACAAAACCTTTATTTTTCATAAATAAAAGTCAGTCAGTGAACATTTACAAACCATATGAACACGACCATTCTGTTTCTTGTACTCTTGCCTTCACACTGACAAGCGTTAATAATGTTTCATAACTACATTTATTATGGTTGGAATGCTGCAGAGGATATTTAAACATACTGCTGTCATACCAAGCCACTGAGGAAACATCTTGGCTTCCCCCACCTTCAACAAATCAGCCCAGTGGGAGGGGGTGAAAGCTCTATGATGTTAATGTTAAGGGTCATAAGGTGAGACAGGTTGGCTTGTGGGATTAAAAGCATAAGAATCTTCTTATTTTAAGGAATACAAGTGATTTCTCATTTGTAATTCAACTGCTATTGTCCATGTGCATATAACCTGTACCCTGCAAACATATCAAATACTAGCCACTGGGCTTTTCGTTTTGTTTTTTTGACATCGGGGAAGGGAACCCACAGCAAGACTGTGCAGCAGAGCTACATCCCCAGCCTAGGCACTGTTTTCCCTTCACTTTAATGGTACTATTATTTACTAAGAACTTAGTATGGGCAGAAGCCCTTTGTTTGTGTTTAATTTTCACACCAATTATTATTCCCATTAGATTCTATATGACCATACTAAACTTAAGAAAATGAGGCTCAGGATTTACACAAGATCACACAATTAAGAAAAAAAAAAAAAAACAGGGCTGAAATACAGGTGTCACTGGGGCTTATAACATATGTTTATCACCATGTGACATAGCCGCTGCTAATCTTGACATGAGTATAATACACAGATGATGTCAGTGTTGAACAGGTGGTCAGATTCCTTTTAATTTAGGGTTATGATTGAAAATACAATCAGGGCTGGTGGTACATGTCTGTAATCCTAGCACTCAGGAGGCTGAGACAGGAGGATTATTGCAAATTCAGAATCAGCTTGGGCTATATGGTGAGCTCAAGGCCAGCCTGAACTGCATAGGAAGACCCTGTCTCAAAAAAATGAAACAAAACAAACAAAAACCAAGTCACATAGCTACGTCTGATTGGCCAGAACAAAGGTAAAAATGTTGCCATAAGATATACAGAACTAAATTTAAAGACTGAGAAAAAATTTAAAGCAAAACCTTTTATTTCCTTTAAATTGTCTGAACTCTTTAGCTTTGAGGTAATTGCCATGAACAGGTAAATGAAACATAGCTTTATTTTGGCATCATGATTTTCTTAAGAGCAGTTTTTATCAAGTTAAAGAATTTTAGTGTGCTGGGGGTATACCAGACTGGCAGAGCAATTCCTTGGCATGCACAAGGCCCTGGTTTGATCCCTGGTCCCAGAAAAGAAAAATCACAATAAGCTATTAAAACTTTTTTTGTTTGTTTGTTTGTTTTTCCTTTTTATTGGTACTGGGGATCGAACTCACGACTGCCTGCTTGCAAGTCAGGCGCTTATGCCGCTGAGCTAAACCTCCAGCCCGCTATTAAAACACTTTTGAAGTTCAGACAGTAGATATCTATCTAGACTTGATGTCTGCAAAGGGCAATTCCTTTTCTGAGAAAGAACACCAAGTATCTCCGTCTCTCCTATATCACTTTAAATTTTTGTGTTTTTCTTTCGAGTCAGGATCTTGCTATGTAGTGCAGGCTGGTCTTGAAATTGCAGGTGACCTTCCTGCCTCAGCTTCCTAAGTGCTGGGATTACAGGCATGTGCCATCATGCCCCACTCAAGTTGTGACCTTTTAAGTCTGGTTTTCTAAAGGCAGAAGAACCCTGGGAAGCCATGCTGGCCTGATCTCCTTCCCTATAAGCACATACTACCCTGCTGACTGCAGTACACACAGTATGCCATCACTGGTTTTCTACCTTGTGTACAAATGAGTATTTCCAAAATTACTAAACAGGTCAACCAAGACAAAATTGTTCTCTGCAGGTCACCCAAAGCAATCACTTACTAAAACCAAGAAGCGCTTAGCTCAAAGAACATGAAGATGAAAGCTGATAGCAACACTCATAGACTTTGTTAAACAATCGAGGTCTATTTCAGCAACAATCTTATTAAGTTAAATTTTGGGTTAACACACTTTTCAAAATGCCAGACTGAGACACCTCCTCTGTGAAACAGAGATGCTACCAAGCAACAGAAAGGGTTTCTGCAATAAAATGGTGACTTCACTTCAGTATCTTAAGGTAAACTTTTTTTTTGGTACTGGGGTGAAACTCAGGACCTTGCACTTGCCAGGCAGGTAAGGTAAGCTTTTATATTCAAGTAATGAGTTGATACATAAGGATCTCGTATTGGGGCCACTGAATATTGTATAATACATTAGCAAAGGATGAGAGTTTAAAGCTATTGGGCTGAGGACAGCTCAGGGGTCCAGCATCTGCCTGGCAAGCAACAAGATCCTGAGTTCGAGTTCCCATATCAAAAGTGTCTATCTATATAGTATACTCTCCAGATGTCCCTTTCCTGTTTATAAATTTGATGATTCATTCAACAAAATTTTATCAAGTATATGATATGTGTATCAGTGTTCTAAACACCAAGAGTGATAAAGTGTCTGCAGTTGGCCTAATATAAATTCCATAATAAAACTGTACCAAGAAATAACAAGCAGGGGCTGGGGATATAGCTCAGCAGCACAGTGCCTGTCTGGCAAGCATGAGGTTCTGAGTTCGATTCCTGACACTCCCCCTACCAAAAAAAAGAATTAAGTAAATACTGAGCTTTAACAGTACTAGTGTATGGGGCTGGGAATTTAGCTCAGCGGCATAAGCGCCTGCCTTGCAAGCAGGCAGTCGTGAGTTCAATCCCTGGTACCGATAAAAAGGAAAAAGACAAAACAAAAAAACAAAAAACCCCACAGTACTAGTGTAATGCAAACTCATGTAGTTGGAATGTAAATTCAACAAAATGCCTAATTTCAGTGGCTTTTCCATTACTATTAAGAGGGGAGAAAAATTAGCAAGGTAAAGGCAATAGTAAATAAAAATTGTGACAAGGGTAAATATCAGAAATACAAGGCAAACAAGTAACTGTGTGTGTTGTCTCATCAAATACATACTGCCAAGTTAGTGTCCTCTTGGTGGTGGTGTCCATGTCTGTGAGCAAAATATTTCACTAGTCCACTGAGGGAGCTAATTCTTTCGTAACAATGCACTAAAGGTGTAAAAGTGTAGACTGTTCAATGATCCCACCATTTGTTTATAAAAAAATTTTAATTGGTAACCAGAATGACTCAATGCTTAAACATCCATCTTACCCTAAGCACAAATGGCTGATTCCTAAACCTTAGGTCTGAATCAAAAATTGACAAGACTAAGCAAAAGGTATGTGCAAAATCGTCAACTAAACAGTGAGCAGGCAGTGACAAGTGCTTAAAACCAAAAGAACGCATTGCTAAGTTACAGGGAAGCTGCTATTCATTTGAACCTTAGCCCAAAAGACAAAAAACTGAATAAATGCTGCTGGCTTCAAGGGATCCAGGCTCTAAATTTGCTGCCTCATTCCTTTATCTGCAGATGCCTCTTTTGACAGTGTTTATATGAAAATGGCCATAACCATATTGGAAAAATCCAACAGGCCATCAAAGCACTTAGGTGGAAATTGTTAGAAAAAATAGTGTATCAGAAAATATGTTCTTTAGAAGGTTCAGCTCAACAGTCTGTCAAATTCGACAATGAAGCATTTTAAGATCTCCGAAAATCCGTCCTTTGACAAAACGGTTTTTTCTTTCTTTCTTTCAAAGCCTCAATTCCTTTAAGAACCACCACCTGTCGGTGGTGCGTATTTTTCTCAGGAAGGCATCTGCACTGCAGATCTCTGCGCGAGGGGAGCTTGCCAGGCAGTTCCCACCAGCAAGCAGACGCATATACAATGGAAACTAACACAGGCCCTGCAGCTTCCCTCCAGGTCTTTCACATAGGAGAGTAGGGGGTTCAACCAGCCCCTGCTTTGTCTGAGTTTCCCCTCCCCCTTTCTGCAGAAAACACCCGCTTTTGTTATACTGCGATCAATAACAGCCCACACAAAATGTGAAATCAAAACATGTCGATGTCTTGGCATGACTCTATCTTCTAAGATATAAGCGGCTGATTTCGTGTCCCCACGCCGGGCCCGTGAAGAGCTCGCTGTATTGCAAATGCAGCCACGCACGGATCCATCTTGGACCATCAGCGGCTCCCTCCCAAATCTTCCCTGCGCTATTCTCATCACGTCTCCTCCACCTCGAAGCCTCAGAAAAACTGGGCATTCAGAGTCTAGTCGAAAACAGGACAGAAAACGAGCTACAAGGCTTTCATTAAACTTCCTCATTCTCCCCATGGGCAAATAAAAATAATTTTTGGAGGAGTCTTAAGCATGTCTGATTATGTCAACACCTGTCTGCAAACCTGCAAGGCACCCCTTTCACCACTCTCCCCTCAAAATCGTAACGAAATCTTTTCTCCCGCGACCCACCTCCCCCAGTCCCTTCAGCCCCGCTAATCTGTCACTAAATCACCCAGGTTCCGTGCAGGGCTCTGTGGCCTCCGCGAACGCAGCCCGTGCGGTGCACCGAGCAATCCGCCAATTCATCCCAGCCTCCCCCAGCTGCGGCTGCGTTGCCCTCACTCGCCGGGGCTCCGCGTTGACGCCCTCCCCGCCCCCAACCTGTTTCTTCACACCCCGTTATTTCCTCACGGACTGCACGACCTTTCGCTCCCCTCCCGGCCCCTACTTTCCTAACATCCGTCCCCCGGGGCTGACGCCCTCCCTCCCCGAGGGTCTCTTAGCTCCGTCCTTGTCTCCCGTTCCCCGTGCCCGCTCTCTCCCACGCAGGGCTCTCGACGCGCCTCACCAGCACAAGAGGAGCCGCAGCTCTTCGCCCCCAGGGCGGGGCACGCTCCCGGGCTCCCGCCACCGCCGCCGGGCGCGGACGGCTCGGCCCCGGAGGACGACGAGGAGACGGACGGGAACTGAGTGACCGCCGACGACTCCGCCATGGCTGCAAGAGCAAGGGCAGGAGAGGGGTGAAGAGAAATGTGGGGCGGGAGAGAGGGAGGGGAAATAATGATCGGTCAGCGGGCGATGCAAAGCCCCTTCTCTCCGCCTGCTCCGAGGACAGACTCCGACAGACTGACTCAGCCGAGCGCTGCGAGCAAAGGAGTGAGAGCGCGCCTGCGCACAAAGGACCCTGGAGTGGGAGGCGGAGGCGGGCGGCGGCCGAGTAGGCGCGTAGGCGTAATGCGCAGGCGCAAGAAGTGTCCCTCGGCTCTCCCGCAGGGAAGGAGGGGCAAAATCCGCCTCCCACGGTGCCTCGAGAGGCTGGGGTGGGGCGCGCCCCTTGGGGACTAGAGGCAAGAGGCGTGGCCAAGCCCCCAAGCCCCGGAGCCCTGGGGCTATGGAGCTGCACTTGCTCCGCAGGTCCTTTTCTGTGAATGTTTTCGAGTGAACAACTATGTATTTCAACGATGGAAGTTTCTCTGTGCTCCATTAGCTGGAAATGATCTTTTCCATAAATTCCAGAACCGTCTTTTGACTGATGCCCTCCCGCTGAGACTCAAAAGAGAAGCGAAAGCCACAGTGTACAGTAGTCCCTGCAGACAAGATGTTTTACGAATTTACCGGGATGTGTCGTAATATCTCACCACGCGGCTGACATAGCGCAGTCTCGCGTTTGTTAGGTGGAGAAAGAAGCTGTACAGAACGAAAAACCATTACTCATTCCAGTCACATTGCAGTGCAGTCTCAAACCCTGCTGCATATTATCTTGTCACTGTACCCAAAGAAGGGTCCACCGTGGGTCTTAAGATTATATTTTCCTTTGGCTAGGCTCTGAGATAGAGAAAACATTCGGGGTGGGGGCAACCCCGAGCTGTTGAAAGAAAAGCCAGGCAATAAGAAGATCTAGTTGTGATTCTGTGGGTAGGGGGTGAAAACATGAGGTATTAAAAGCGCAGAATAAGATACAGATGCATGAAATGGAAGTTTATTCATAACCCAAAAGGGATCTTTAGCAGAAAATGTATTTGAAACCAGTCATCTAGCTTATGTTGGTATTTGTGGTTTTTTTTTTTTTTTTTTTTTTTGCTTTTCCTAGGTTGGCTTGCCAGATTTAAAGCCCTCTCCCTACATCTAGTCAAAATATTTGAAAGATGCATAATCCTTTTAAAAGGAGGATTGTATCCTGGATATAATAAAAATTGAGGCTGTAGGCTTTTTATTGCAAAAGCAGCAATCGACCCAAAGTACAATTACAGGTTTAGCAAAATCCTATAAAGATGTAACCTCAGAAAAGGGGAGGTAACCAATCAGGCTGCCAGAGAGGAAAAGATATCTGACCAGTGGAAATCTTCTAGAACAGGCTGCGGACTACATCTGTCCTTGACAGTTTTTAAGGTCAACTGATGCTCAGACAGGGATAAGGAGAAAAAGGAAAAACACAACAACATCCTGGCCCTTGCAGAGCTCTGAAAAGAAGTACAGAAGAACATTTTCTTAAAATAACTTCATGGCAAATATCTTACATTGGCATTTCCAGCATCAGCTGACAGTGCTGCACTGTCCCTTAAGGCGATGAAAGAAAATTGTAGTCAATGTGATAATCAAGCCAATCATCTACCTTTACTGAGAAATCTAGAATATTTTAAAATCTATGTTATTAAGTTCTGGAAAGAAAATGAAAGATACCTGTAGCTAAACCTGATAGCACTTGCTGAAAACAGAGATGTGGGCTGAAAAGGAAAGCTATTTCCCTGTCATTCCTTGGTGCCATTTGGTTTGTTGTGCCAATTTTCCTGAGTCTGATTCTTCCTCAGGATGTTTGTGTTTTTGTATCTATAACTTATTCCAGGAATGTTTACTGATCATACTGTTGTGTACATGACACTATTTTGGGAAATTTAGAGGGCCATAATATATATACTATGTTTGTCCCACCTTCAGTGTACTGACAAGCTAGCTTGGGCAAACATAAACACACATAAAGTTAAATAAGCCCCCCCCCCCCGGGATCGAACTCACAACCGCCTGCCTGCAGGGCAGGTGCTTATGCCACTGAGCTAAACCCAAGCCCCAAAGCTAAGTAAGTTAAATAGCAACCAAACCATACCCTAAATAACACAAAACCATAATGCTTTGGTTAGGTGGCAAGTAAATTGCATTAATTTATATAAGAGAAGCCAGGTGTGATAGCGCACACCTATACAGGAGTCTGAGGTAGGAGGATCACTGGGAGTTCAAGACCAACCTGGGCCATATAGTTCAAGACCAACTTGAACTACATAGTGAGACATTGTCTCAAAAAAGAACCCCAAATAAGAATGGGGTGGGGTATAGTTCAGTGGTAGAACCCCAAATAAGAATGGGCTGGGGTATAGTTCAGTGGTAACATGCACAAGATCCTGGGTTCTATATCCAGCAAAACACACCCATGCATGTACACGTGCATGCACATACACTACACACATGCAAATGCCAGGAGTTAGGGTGGTTTGGGAGGTTTTATGAAGAAGCTCAAATAAGTTTGTAGGGGAGTTTGGCACTGTAAAGCTATCATTAACAGCAGAGAAGGATGATTGGAAGCAAAATCAGGAGTTATTTTTGTCCATCTCTACAAAAGAGTCACCTTTCTGGGTAAACAAGTCATACAAAAAACACCACTCCCAGGATGGCCTGTCTAGCAGAAAATGTCCTAGACTTGATCTCCACACAACCTGCTCTTCCACAAACTGCTGTGATACAATGCACAAACTGCACAACAATACAGACTGGTGCACTGAGTGTCTGAGTGTGATACATATGTAAACTGGGTGTGGTGGTACACATCTGGGAGGCTGAGGCAGAAGGATCACAAGTTCATCTCCAAGGTCAGACTGGGCAATTTGGTAAAACCTGGTCTGAAAAAAGGTAGAGGGTGTGAGGATATAGTGCCCTTTCTTGTGGGAGACCAGATAAGAAGATTAAGGCCTAACTGGTCTCTTATGTGAGCTCTAGGTAAATACGTGCTTACATGCCAAGGGAAACATTAATACAGCTGAGATCCTGTATTGATAATTCTCTGTGTGTATGTACACGAGTGCATGTGTGTGTGTGTGTGTGTGCATGCTAGTGGGGATCCATCCTAGAGTCTTTTTCTTTTTGTGACAGGGTCTCACTATGCATTTCAGGCTGACCTTAGACTCACTTTGTAGCCCAGGCTGACCTCAAACTCATGGCAATACTCCTGCCTCAGCCTCTCAAGTGCTGGGATTACAGGTATCCACCATCACAACTGGCTCCATCGTACAGTCTTTGCTCTGAACTATAGTCCCATCTTATTTTTTATTTTGAGACAAGGTCTTGCTAAACTTCCCAAGCTGGCTTAAACTTGTGATCCTCCTGCCTCAGCCTCCCAGAGTACTGGAATTACTGGTGTATACCACCATGCCCAGATGTAATATAATTTATTCTTTAATATTGATAACATTTGTATCTCTTTATGGGGTACATTACAATTTGATACATGTATACAATGTGTAATGATAAAATCAGGGTTGTAAACACTTAGTTTTTCAGATTTTTTTTTTGAGACAGGGTCTGCTACATAGTCCAGGCTGCTCTCTAACTCACAGCAATCCTTTTGCCTCCCGAGCGATGGGATTACATACATGCATTACCATATCTGGCACAGTAATCATTTTCATGTGTTAGGAATTTTGTACTCTTCCAGTTATTTTGAAATATAGATTGTTTTAATCGATAGTTACCCAACTATGCTATAGATAACCCTCTTCTCTGACTAGGTTTTGGTGCCCTCTTATGTAATTTTTTCCATTGCTTCCACCCCCACACACTTCCCTGTCTCTACTTATTTCTATGAAATGGGCTTTTAATTTCACAAATCGGTGAGAATATGTGGCATTTATCTTTCTGTACTGGACTTATTTCATTTAACATATTGACCTTGACTTCCATCTATGCTGCTGTAAATGATAGGATTCCATTCTTTTTGATGGCTGAATGGTATTCACATATGTAAATATCTGTTCCTCTGTTGATGGACATCTTGATTGATTCCATGTCTTTGGTGTAATTAGTGTAGCAAGAAACAAAGAAAAAGAGGAATGTACATATCTCTTTGATGTATTGGCTTCATCTCTTTTGAATAAATATCAGTAGAAATTGCTGAATCATATGGCAATCTTTTTTTTAAATCTTCTGCTTCTTTTTTAATGTATCCCAGGCTGGCCTCAAACTTGCAGTGGTCTTCCTGCCTCACCCTCCCAAGTGCTATATGCACCACCATGTCCAGCAGGTAATTCTATTTTTAATCTTGTTTTCTGTGTGTGTGTGTGGTGCTGGGATTGATTCCAGGATTTAGCACTAGACAAGTAGTCTACCATTGAGTTATACTCCCACCCCAATTTTGTAATTTTTTAAGGTATCTCCATATGGTTTTCCATAATGGCTGTTCTCATTTATAGTCTCACCTGCAATGTACGCTACATTTGTTTTTTGTCTTTTTTAATAATAGTTATTCTAAGTGGAGTGAGATGAAATTATATATCATTATTTTAATGTCATTTTCCTAATAATAGTGATACTGAGCATTTTTCACTTACACATTGGCCATTTGCATGTCTTCTTTTGAGAAGAACCTGTTCAGCTCTTTAGCCCTTTTTTTTGAGGCAGGGGGTCACTATGTAGATTAGGCTGACTTTGAACTTGGTATGTAGGCCAGGGTGGCTTTGAATTCCTTGTCTCAGTCTTCCAAATGCTGGGATTGGGGCTGAGGATTTAGCTCAGTGGCTTAAGCACCTGCCTGGCAAGTGTGAGATCATGGGTTTGATAGCCTGCACAAAAAACAAACAAACAAAAAATGCTGGGATTACCAGCGTGTACCACCACCTGGCCTCTTTAGCCCATTTTTAACTGTAATTTTACTGTTTTTTTTTGTGTGTGTGTGTGTGTGTGTGTGTGTGTGTGTGTGTGCTGTTTTTAAAAATGATTTTTTGTTTTATTAAAAAATAGTTTCAGGGCTTGAGATTTAGTTCAGTGGCACAAGTACCTGCCTGGCATGCACAAAGTTGTGTGTTCGATCCTTGTACCAGAAAAAAAGGTTTTTTTCACAATGAAATAAGAGAATAACAATAGTATACTGCATACCATTATCCTTAAAGTAGTTACTCCACATACAGAACAGACAAAAAGATTCTTTTATAAAGTAGAAACAAACAATAGCACAATACTTTCTTTTCAGTCAACTA